TTAGCTGGGCAATTGGACTTTCAATGCTAGTGACTCATGGAATACAGATACTTGTAGTTAGCTTGACATTAGATTAAATGTTACAAAGAACTGCAATACACTATGTTGTACTGACTCACCCATAAAAACAATATCATAATTGTTGATTGAGAGCTACTTACAAATTTTAAATACAAATCTTTATACGTAGAGTCATCAACAATATCGTACCAGCTAATTCTTTCTGACGAAGGTAGTTGTCATTCCCCTTTCTGAAAATACTTTTTAACTTGATTAGCTACCTTGTTCCAGTAGACATCACCAGGATTGTTTCCACTGTCATAGACTGAAATCCTTCTGTGTCCAAGTGACTCATTTGCTCTATAGAAATCAATATTTAAAATATTTTTAATCCACAGCACAGTAACTACTGTACAAATAATAATTATAGAATTGCATTGCTTTAACCCCAATGCTACTACACCACATAACATCCCAAACACCATGCTAGTGGACTCTTATCCTATAGTTTTGATCACGCAAAGATATAATGGCCACTCAATATTACATTTTTGAAAGGCGACTAGGCGCATGGTAACAACCAACTGATGCAGACCACTGGTCACACATTACTCTCCATAACACAGCATCCCCTAGTTCCGTCACCTCTGGATGCACAATCAACTTACTGTATTATCAAATGTTTTCCCAAGGCAATAAATACATAAGACAATCGTAGTCATACCCTATTAAGGGCCATGTTATTTTAGCAAGCAAAAAAAGTCAGGTATGGTATGTTGAGCTCAAAAAGTGGCTTTTGATTTTTGGACACTATGTTAAGAGAGTGATAGACAAAACTGATAATTTATAACAAATTCATGGCAATAATTAACGTACATAATATCTACCCAAGACAAAATAATGTACCAGATGATGATGATAAATTAAATTTGAATGTAGTCTTTTACATTTACTAATTAGAACTAGATATACAGTACAGTACTGCGTACCTGGAAGTGTTGGCAAAAAATGTCTTCTGTGATAGAAGATCAAGGTACTCTTCTTGACTTGAGTTTCGCTCTGGACTGGATAAATCTCCTAGTCTTGAAATGGGAATAAAGTTTCTGGAGGGTTTTTTGTTCACATGTCGCTGGAAAAAAGAACATAATTGCTGATGGAAAGAAAATTCAGGACTGAGTAACACAACACTAAACAATTAAAACTTCAGACAAAGAAAAAAAAATACATCCTGGATTTTGGGCACATAATTGTAGCATGTATCATGTAACTAAATCAATGCATTTATTTTGTTGTGTAATTACGTCTAAACATTAAGAAAGCATTGATATTTTTTAAATAGTTTTCTTCCAAAGGTTGGAAGATTATAAATATTTTAACCATCAAAAGTTGTGTGGCATAATGCCTGTCTCTTATACACATCTAGATGTGTATAAGAGACAGGTCTCCAAGCAATCATAATCAGAATAAAAGGACAATTATTGTTTGGCAACACACCTTATCAATACAGTACATCTTACCTTTTATAAAATGTGTACTACACTTGTGCACATCTATGGCCTTTAGAATGTCATCCTTCTGTAACTAGTGCAAGATCCGCTTCATGGACCACACCAAGCTCATCCAGTTTTCCCAAACGTTTTTC